GATGATGTTGAACCTTTTCCTGTACTTATTTCCCGTCAGTATAAACTTTTCAGTAAAATGCCTGTTTGTGTCTTCTGTCCATTTTCTAATCGAATTGTTTTTTACTGTTGAGTTTTGAGAATTCTTCATGTGTTCTAGATGCAAGTCTTTTGTCACATATGTGGTTTGCAAATATTTTCTCCCAGTCTGTAGCCTATCCATTTTCTTACTAGAGTTATTCACAGAACTAAATTTTTAAATTTTGATGCAATTCATTTTATCAGTTTTATTTTATGGATTGTGTTTCTGGTGCCCAGTCTAAGAACATTTTGCCTGGCCCCATATCCCCAAAATTTTTTCCTATATCTTTTTTCTACAAGTTTTATCATTTAACATTTAAGGCCGTGATCCATTTTGATTTAATTTTTATATAAGATAGGAGGTTTGGATTAAGGTTTATTTTTTCCTACAGATATCCAGTTGTTCCAGCACCATTTTTGAAAAAAGCATTCTTCCTCAATTGAATTGCTTTCGTACCTTAAAATCTGTTTGACATATTTGTGTGGGTCTTTTTCTGAGGTCTCTATACCATTGGTCTATGTGTCTTCCCCTAATGCTTTCATTACTATAGCCATATAGTAAGCCTTAATATCTGGTAGAATGATTCCTCCCACTTTATTCTTCTCTGTCAAGATTATTTTAGTTTCCATAAAAATTTCCTGGCATTTGATAGGAATTATGTTTAACTTATAGATAAATTTGGGGAGAATTCACATCTTTACTATGTTGAGCCTTCCCATTCATGAACATGATATGTCCCAATATTTACCTAGGTATTCTTTGATTTCTTTAATTAGCATTTTATAATTTTCATCACCCACATCACATACATGTTTTGGTTTTGTTAGATTTATACCTTAGTATTTCATTACTTTGTAGTGATTATAAATGGTATTATATAACAAACACATGATTTTGTTAGTGTAAAATCAACACACAATTTTTGTGTGTTAATTTTATGTCCTTTAATCTTACTGAACTCACTTGTTAGTTCTAGGAGATTTTTTGTGTGGATTCCTTGGAATTTTCCTTATACGCAGTTATGTCATCTGCAAATAGTCAGAGTATTATTTTTCCTTTCCAATCTGTATGCTATTTATTTCTTTTTCTTGTCTTTTTGTACTGACTAGAACTTCCAGTATACTATGTTGAGTAGTAGTGATGAGAGCAGACATCCTTGCCTTGTTCTTGATCTTATGCGGAAAGTCTTCAGTTTTTCACCTTAAGTATGATGTTATTTGTAGATTTTTTTTTTGTAGATGTCCTTTATCAAGTTGAAGTAATTCCCCTGTGGGAGTTTTTGTTTGTTTGTTTTACTATAAACAGGTACTGGATTTAGTCAAATTTCTTTTCTGCAGCAATTGCCATAATCATGGTTTTTTTTTCTCTATGTCATGATACAGTGAATTACGTGTATGTGTGTGTGTGTGTGTGTGTGTGTGTGTGTGTGTGTTTTGAGATGGAGTTTCACTCTGTTGGCCAGACTGGAGTGCAATGGTGCAGTCTTGGTTCACTGCAACCTATGCCTTGCAGGTTCATCCGATTCTCCTGCCTCAGCCTCCATGCACCACCATGCCCAGCTAATTTTGTAACTTTAGTAGAGACAGGGTACCACCATGTTGGTCAGGCTGGTCTCGAACTCCTGACATCAGGTGTTCCACCTGCCTCAGCCTCCCAAAGTGCTTGGATTACAGGCATGAGCCACCACACCTGGCCTATGTTGATATATTTTAAATGTTGAGCCAGCCTTACATATGTGGAATAAATTCTACTTGGTCTGGGTTTATAATTTCTTTTATACATTGTAGGATTTGGTTTGCTATTATTTTGTTGAGGATTTTTTAATGTAAGAGAGATGTTCAAGTATTCATGATATTTATTGGTTGGTAGTTTGGGGCATTTTTTGTTTTGTTTTCTTTTACTGTTTATGCCAGGTTTTAGTGATAGTATAATACTGGCCTTATTTTTTAGAAGGATTTGTGAAGAATTGGTATTAATTCTTCTTCAAGTGCTTGGTAGAATTTTCCAGTAAAATTATCTGGGCCTGGATATTTTGTGTTTGAGAGCTTTTAAATTACAAATTGCATTTCTTTAATGTTTCTAGGACTATTCAGATTATCTGTTTCATTTTGGTTATCATAGTTTGTAGTCTTTCAGGAATTGGTGCATTCCTGTTAAGTGGTTAAATGTATAAGTATTAATTTGTTCATAGGGTTTCCTTTTTATCCTTTAATGGCAGTAGGATCTGTAGTGGTATACCCTGTTTCCTGCATTTGGTGATTTGTGTTTTCTCTGTTTTTATTTTTTTTCTGTCTTGCTAGAGGTTTATTAATTTTATTGATTTTTTTTTTCAGAGTCAGCTGTTTGTCTTGATGTTTTTCTGTGGTGTTTCTGTTTCCAATTTCATTGATAACAACTCTTTATTATTTTCTTCATTCTGCTTGCTTTGGGTTAATTTTGCTCTTTTTCTATTTTCTTAAGGTAAGAATTTAGATTATTGATTTGTGAACTCTCCTTGTTTTTAATAAGTGGCTTATGGGTTGGAGGGTAGCGTATACAGCATGGATGTGTAGACAAAGGGATGATTCACATTCTGGGCAGGGCGGAGCTGAACTGTATAAGATTTCATCACACTTCTCAGAATAGTTTGCAATTTAAAACTTATACATGGTTTATTTCTAGAATTTTTTATTTAACATTTCTGACCATAGTTGACCACTGGTAACTGAAACCCCATAAAGTGAAACCATGCCTAAGGAAGGACTACTGCATTATAAGGCATTTCTGATCATCAGCAATTTAAAAAACCTAGTTGGCATCTCCAACTGTCAATCTCACTAATGGTTCTTTTACTATCCATTAAAAAGCTTCATGTTAGCAAACATCTGCACATAGATATCCCAAAGGCTCAAATTAAACTTGTCTAAAACTAAACTCATTATTTTCATACTCTCCTAGGTCTCTCAGATCTGTAACTCCTTTTTTTTTCCTCAGGAAAAGACTACTGTTATTTACTCAGGAATCTAAGCAGGCTATTTCTACTTCTTCAGTAAGTGATGATGATTATACTTCTTAAATAGCTCTTGAATCCTTTCTATTCACTAGTTTTCCCACCACCACACTCCTACTTCGGACTTTCTTTGTCCGCTACCTTGAAATATAGAGTAATTTTTTTCAGGTTGATGCAAACATCAGCTCCTTGTCTATACCTTATTTTCTCACTCCCCAGGGGTAATCACTTTCACTTCTTTTAGCTGAATTTTGCAACTACTTATTTTTATATTTTTAAACATCATGTATTGTTACTTTTAGTTTTTTCATATTAGACCTTCTCTACTGACTTCCCAAAATGGGTGGAAAGGAGGATTTAACTGTTTTATATCATGTGTATATATAATATATATATATAATATATATATATACACACACACACACGTATGTGTATGTGTGGTATATGTATGCACACATATTTCCTCATCCTATTATATATAATAAATTTCACATAGATTAATATTTGATATTTGAATTATGATTGCATAAATGTTATTTGCAGCCTGGCCATGTAGCATATTATGTCTCCTTCCTTTTACAAGTTTTATTTTCATTTGAATCTTTATTTGCTTAGTTTTCTATATACTTACAGTAATTTATTCTCTAACTTCCTGCTTTTACTTTAAATTTATCAGTTGCATCTTCTTGGATTTATCTCTGCCAGAGCCCTCTAATCTCTATACTGCAGTCTGTAATTGTTGCTTTCTTGGTCTGCTGCTTGGCTAGGGTCTCCCTTCTATAGCATTCTTGTATTCCCTGTACTCTTTACTGGTTCTCCATTTTCATGACTCTTACTTATACTTCTGTTACTTGGTTTGTTCCCTTGTTTCTGATATAGCACATATTCTAGCAGTTTCCAGAAACAGTGCATAGGAAGGAAACTTTTTGAGACCTTGCCTGTCTGAAAAGGTATTTATTCTATCCTCACATCTAATCAATATTATTGGGTATTGAATTTTAGCTTGGAAATAATTTTCCCTGGAACTTTTGAAGAAGTTGTTTTGTTGTTTTCTAACTTTGAGGGCCATTTTGATTCCTGAACCTCATGTGAACTTTTCATTTGTGTGTTTTACTTTTTCAATGGAAGGTTTTAGGATTGTCCTCAAAATGCTGAAATATCAAATGATGTGTTTTGGTATGGATCTGTTTCATCCACTGAGCCCATTATTGGCTCAAGGAATTAATTTCTTTCAGTTTGGGTCTGTTTTCTTGAATTAAGTTTTTGCTCATTCTTTCTGGAAATATTCTTATTCTAAGGTTTGATGTACTGGACTGATCTGCACTTATTTTTTTCTCCTATTTTCTCATTATATTTTTGTTAAATTCTCTGGGGTATGTACTCAACTGTTTATTTGCCTTTCTACTGATCTTTGATATCTGCTATAAATTTAATTTTGCAAGAACCTGTTGTGTTGTTTTATGATTATATGTACTTTTTAAATAGCATTCTGTTCTTATTTCACAAATTCAGTATTATCTCTTTGAGGATATTAGTGATATTTAAAAATGTATATTATATTCTTTCTGTATTATTTCTCTTAGCTTTCTTTATATTTCTGTTTTGTTTCAGTCTTATGTTAGAAGCTTTCCTCAAATATCTGGTGATTCTTGATTGTCCATTTATATTCAAGAATGATACACTGAAAGGTTTATAGGTGGGGCTTGTTAACTTATAGGATAATTTGGCTATACCTTTTCATTGGGGACTTCTAACTGTGGCCTTTAGAATATTTCTCTTTAGCTGGACAAATCCTCTGGAGAAGAAACTACCAGTTCCTGGCTAGAGATAAGCCTAGTGTTAAGCCAGTATTCTGAGAACTGTTAGAGAAGAGACTGCAGGCTCAGTGTTCAGCTTGTAGGCTTTCACTTTATCCCTCATATAACTTTACTTAATTCCTATTTTGGTACAGAATACTTGCCCTCTGCTTTGCGTGTTATTCCTGATCCAGAGCTCATTCGGTTCACCTTCTCCAAAGGAAAATTATCTCCACGACTTGAGTAGGGAGAATTGCCCAGATGAGTAGAGAGGTATGTTTCTTATGCTTTCACAATTCTGTTTGTAGCTTCACTTTCAACAACACTTTGAATTACCTAGCTCTACTAATTCCATATTCTTTCTAGGATTCTCTCGTACAAATTCAGTTGCAATTTTTATAGTTTTATTGTTGTCCCCTTTCTTGTTTTTGTCCTTAAGATTTTATGCTTTTGTCTTTTTCTTTTCTTTTCTTTTTTTATTTTATTGCATTTTAGGTTTTGGGGTACATGTGCAGAACATGCAAGATAGTTGCATACATACACACATGGCAGTGTGTTCTGCTGCCTTCCTTCCCTTCACCCACTTTTGGCATTTCTCCCCAGGCTATCCCTCCCCAACTCCAAATCTTTACTGCTATTTTACAAATGTTTTGGAATGGAGCAGTGGTAATAAATGTACTTAATCTCTAACTGGTGACCTTATTGGTCTCCTGCCGCGAGGCTTACCCCATTATGATTCACTTTCACAATACTTTCAAGGTGATCTTGATAAAATCACACTCTATTCTAGTCATCTCTTGATTAAAACCCTTCACTAGTTCCCATTGCCCACTGATAAATACGATTCTTTGCATAATATACAAAGTACTTTATATAATCTAACCCCTCTCTGGTTCTCCAGCCTCATATCTTAAAGAAGTATTTATGGTTTTCTAAATGCCTGATATTCTTTCCTCTTCTGTGTTTTCTCATGTTCAATTTTATTTGCCTGGAGTGCTCTACTCCATCATCATCTTCCTGGTAGCTGCTCCCTTGTCTAGATGGTTTATAAAGCCTTCCTTGACTTCCTTGGCTCATCATTATAATATTTGTTTATCTTCTTCTTTGTATTCATGCTGTGTTCTACATAATATAGTGTTAGCATTTATCATATAATATTGCAGTTATTTATTTACATGTCGGTTTACTGGAATTTGAGCTTCTTGATAGAGATAATGTCTCAATTATTTTGTATCTTCAGAATTTAGCAACACCTGGCATGAGATTGAGGTCCAATATATGATTTCAATTTATTTGTTGCCTGATATTTACACAGCATACTGTATTTAGCTTTTGATGGAGAAATAGCCACAAAGCTGACAGACATATGTACATGAGCATCTTTTCATGTTATTAATCATTCTACATTTTAATGGCTGCTAAATATTGCATTATATTGATATACCATAGTTTGTTTAGTTAATAGCCCATTGTTAGGTATTAGTTAATGTTTCAAACTTTTTGCTGTTTTAAATCATGCTGCAGTAAAAACCTAGCTATAGGTAAATTTTAAGGTGTACATCCATGATTACTGTATATAAATAAAATTCTTAGAAGTTAAAATGCTAAATTGGTAGTAATGTCTGTTTTAAAAGCTTTTGATATATCCTTCCAGGTAGGTTGTACTAATTTGTATTTTCACCAGAAATTCATTAGGGTGGACCTATTTTTCTGCACTCTTTCCGGTACCATTTCTGAAATCACTACCGCCACCACCAAGACCACCACCACCACCACCAACACCATCATTGTGCATCGTGATCATTCCTTGTCAAAATCTATAGGTGAAAATAATATTTTCCTTGTTTAATTTGAATTCCTCTGGTTACTAGTGAGGCTGAGTATTTTGAAAATGTTTATAAAAAATTTGTATGTCATTTCGTAAGTTGCCCATTTATATCATTAACCATTTTACTGTCAGGATCATTATTATTATTATTTTATACTTTAAGTTCTAGTTATGCGTGCAGAATGTGCAGGTTTGTTACATAGGTATACATATGCCATGGTGGTCTGCTGCACCCATGACCCCGTCATCTACATTAGGTATTTCTCCTAATGCTATTCCTCCCCTAGTCCCCCACCCTCCAACAGGCCCCAGTGTGTGATGTTTCCCTCCCTGTGTCCATGTGTTCTCATTGTTCAACTCCCACTTATGAGTGAGAACATGCGGTGTTTGGTTTTCTGTTCCTGTGTTAGTTTCCTGAGAATGATGGTTTTCAGCTTCATCCTTGTCCCTGGAAAGGACATGAGCTCATCTTTTTTTATGGCTGCATAGTATTCCATGGTGTATATGTGCCACATTTTTTTCATCCAGTCTATCATTGATGGGTATTTGGGTTGGTTCCAAGTCTTTGCTATTGTGAATAGTGCCGCAATAAACATATGTGTGTATGTGTCTTTACAGTAGAATGATTTATAATCCTTTGGGTATATACCCACTAATGCGATTGCTAGGTCAAATGGTATTTCTAGTTCTAGATCCTTGAGGAATTGCCACACTGTCTTTCACAAAAGTTGAACTAATTTACACTCCTACCAATAGTGTAAAAGTGTTCCTATTTCTCCACATCCTCTCCAACAGCTGTTGTTTCCTGACTTTTTAATGATCGCCATTTTAACTGCATGAGATGATATCTTAATTGTGGTTTTTTTCTCTCACTGCCTCAATTTTTTTCTGGGACAAATGAGAGATACACTATATAGTATTGTTTATCAAAGTACATTGTGTTCTTTGACAGTGAATTTAATCTTATCTAATAATCTTTATATGTATAACTTACAATTTTTTTAAGCATTAATTATAGTTTCTAGAAATCTGTGTTTGGGTTTAATGACTAAACCTCTTTTCATAATCTTTTTTGAATCTTCACCTAAAGTGTTTGGAAAAGGCTTAGTTGAAGAAAACATCTGTCTCCAAAACAGAATGAGACTGCCTGGAAGCAGTTTCACCGAAATCTTTGAAAATAATAAATAATTGTTTAAAAAACTTTTTTGATAGACAAATATGCCACCTTAGCCAATAGCCATTTAGTTAGGCCTATAAAGTTGTACAGATATCAGACAATCCAGTATTAGAACACTTTTGTTACCGCCAAAATTTTCTCTTGGCCATTTGCAGTTATTCCTCATTTCTGTCCCAAACCCCATGCAACCACTAATCTACTTTCTGTCTTTATAGATTCGTTTTTTCTGGAGAGTTTGTATAGATTGAGTCATATTGTATGTCACCTTTTGTGTCTGGTTTCTTTCATTTAGCATAATATTTTCAAGGTTCATCTATGTTGTAACATGTATCAGTACTTCATTCCTTTTATTGCTGTGTATCATTTGTTTTTCTTTAAGAAAAAGAAAGATAAGAAGAAAGAGAGAAAGAAAGAAAAAAAGAAAAGAATGAAAGAGAGAAAGAAAGAGGAAGAGAAAGAGGGAGAATGGGAATCTTGTTCTATTGCCCAGGCTAGAATGCAGTCTAAAAATGGATATTAAAAACCTCTTTTATGCCAATAATTGTGCTTAACAATGGAGACAGGAAGGAATAAGGGAAGAAAATAACAAACAAGCAGCCAACCAATATTTCATTTAAACCTGTGAAATGCCATGCAATTGCTGAGGAATGATTTACTTCCAATTATGTGGTCACTTTTAGAATAGGTGTGATGTGATACTGAGAAAAATGTATGTTTTGTGGATTTGGTGTGGAGAGTTCTGTAAATATTTGTTAAGTTTACTTGTTCCAGGTCTGAGTTCAAGTCCTGGATATCCTTGTTAATTTTCTATCTCATTGATCTGTCTAATATTGATCTGTTTCTTAGTTTTCCTTTGGCGGATGCCCCTTCCCCACAGAGCTGGACCTTTCTGGGTTCAGCTGTGCTTGCGGTGAAACTCTCAATGCTCAGCACTTCCAATTGCTCTTTTTTTTTGTGGGAGTGGGACCAGCCAATCCCAGTCACCTGGCTCCCTGTCTTAGAGCCTCTCCTTTTTTTTTTTTTTTTTTTTTTTTTTAGTAATATTAAAGTCTTCCACTATTATTGCATGGGAGTCTAAGTTGCTTTGTAAGTCATTAAGAACTTGCCTTATGTATCTGGGTGCTCCTGTATTGGGTGTGTATATATTTAGGATCGTTGGCTCTTCTTGTTGCATTAATCCTTTTACCATTATGTAATGTCCTTCTTTGTTTCTTTTGGTCTTTGTTGCTTTAAAGTCTTTTATCAGAGACGAAAATTGCAACTCCTATTTTTTTTTTCCTCTCCATTTAGTTGGTAAATCTTCCTCCATCCTTTTTTTTAAAGTCTTTGTGTATCCTTGCATGTGAGTTGGGTCTGGATACAGCATACCAGTGGGTTTTGGCTTTTTATCCAATCTGCCTGTCTAAGTCTTTTGATTGGGGCATTTAGTCCACTTAAATTTAGGATTAATATTGATTTATGTGAGTTTAATACTGCCATTTAATGCTGGCTGGCTGTTTTGCCCATAAATTGATGTAGATTCTTCATTATGTTGATGCTCTTTACCTTTTAGTATGTTTTGGAATGGCTGGTTGTTCCTTTCTATGTGTATTGATTCTTTCAGAAGCTCTTGTAAAGCAGGCCTGGTGGTGATGAAATCTCTGAGTACTTGCTTGTTCACAAAAAATATTATCTTTCCTTCACTTCTGAAGCTTAGTTTGGCTGGCTATGAAATTCTGGGTTGAAAGTTCTTTTGTTTAAGGATGTTGAATATTGGCCCCCACTCTCTTCTGGCTTGTATGGTTTCTGCTGAGAGATATGCTGTGAGTCTGATAGGCTTCCCTTTGTGGGTAACTTGACCTTTCTCTCTGGCTGCCCTTAGTATTTTCTCCTTTGTTTCAACCCTGGTGAATATAATGATTATGTGCCTTGGGGTTGCTCTTCTTGAGGAATATTTTCGTGGTGTTCTCTGTATTACCTAGAGTTGAGTATTGTCCTGCCTTGCTAGGTTGGGAAAGTTTTCCTGGATAATATCCTGAAGAATATTTTCCAGCTTTGATTCATTCTCTTCATCACATTCAGGTACACCTATCAAACATAGATTAGGTCTTTTCACATAGTCCCATATTTCTTGGAGACTTTGCTCATTCCTTTTTACCCATTCTTCTCTAATCTTGTCTTCTCATTTTATTTCATTAAATTGGTCTTCGACCTCTGATATCCTTTCTTCTGCTTGATCAGTTTGACTGTTAAAACTTGTGCATACTTCATGAAGTTCTCATATTGTGT